TTGCTTCTCTTTTTTTCCCCCTTCGCGTACCTTGATCACGTCCGTCCGCCCGTACTCACAGGCGGCATACAAGACCTTTATCTCCTCCCGATCCCCCACTTTCCCCCGCTCGGCCTCAGGAAATCGCTCCTCTACAGCTGGCCCCACCATGGCAAGAATGCGTCGTGAGCCGTCTGCAAAGCACTGCTGTTTTTATTTTTGATCCGGAGAGTGGGATTGACTCGTGTGGTGGAGGAAGAAGAGCTCTGCGGCATGGGAACGACAATGGGACACAGCATGGTCAGAAAGCTGATGTTGACTACTTCCCCCTTTAGCGTCTTGACACGCACTACTCATGGACCTTCTATCGAGGTCTCGGCGCGTGAAGCGCGCGACAAACACATTTTTAAGGTGTGCATTTCAGCAACGTAAGCACGAACACAGAGGTAAGGGAAGCCATTGCCTACATCCAGAATAGTCATGAATGCTCTCGCCCAAGGATGCATGCACACATGATCATATTGACAGGCAATCCACGTTAAGGTCTAGAGGAAAGCCATGGCTTGATACCAGCCCTCTTCAGGCAGGGACAGAGGTGTGCGAGAGTCAGAGAATTCATGATGGCTGTGAACACCTGCTAGAGACCAATGAGCTTCTAGCCAGCCCTTCAACTGGGGATTCTGATACGGATGGCGCTATTCGGTGGATTTTTCAGTGCACATGGAAGGAAAGGCGTCGTTGTAAAGGTGATGGAGTATGAAGCGACTACACGTTTGTTGATGAGGTTAAAAAGATGACACGGACTAGGATTGCGTGCATTCCCTCCGGGCAATTCCATCCCCACAGTACATACCAAAATTCTCCTTATTTGCCCTGTAAGTATGGAGGAGGCAAGACATCCATCAAGGTCATGATTATTTGTCTGTCATTCGAAACGTCCTGCGCGCGGCCCTCAGGGCGGTATGGGCCTTCTGCCCCGACGCGATGCAACGTCGCACGAGTAATGACCTCACCACCCATAATTCCCCCGAGCGAGCCACCTCGCCACCAAAAAAGGTCGCAGGAGACGCCGTAAACTTGTCTGGGGCAGTAATTGGTTACGGGGGGCACGTGCATCTAGCAGCCTTGCACCTCTTGCATACTTCCGGGTCAGTTTCTCTGTGCTCGATCAGAGCCGAGAAAATCCCAGCGACTCAAAAAGGGCAAAGAAGCAAAAGGACGACCTGATGATCGCTCTTGATCATGAAAAAGGCTGTTAAGATGTAGAATATTGCAATGTACTGGTCTACAAGCCGGTTTTTGTCCATGGTAATTTGGCGCGTACCGTCCCGTGAGACGTGCACGGACCACGGCCTCCGTCTAATTTTTCAAATACATGTGCGAAGACACAATTCGAACGCATGCTAACTTCTCCATGAAAAGTGATGCCACTGTGTCAGTGATTCGAGATTTATTCTTTCTTGTGTCATCCTGAGCGCGGCAGCGGGCCAGTGTATGAACCATTACTTCAACCATGTATATCGCAGCGACAGGTGCCTGGCTCATATTACTGACCTCCCTCTCTCAGCATATTAGTTCTCTCTCCGTGCTATTTTTATTCCCTGCTTCTTCGCATACATTCATTTCGCGCTCAATTCAAATTTTAATCGACAACTTCGCTCGCCCGCTTCATGTTTGCCTGGGGCTTTTTATTACACTGATGCTCCTGCACGTCTGTTTCCAATGACGCCGTGGAGCACCCCACAAGAACATCTCACATAGAATATCTTGGACATTTAAAGCACTGTCACCATCAAGTGTCTTTTCTGTCCCAGCACCCGCCATGTGCCGTGGCTGTCGTTTTCAATCCCTCCTCTCTTCCCTCCTCCTCTCCCCCTTTACATGGAACGTCATGGGTACTGCCGCCATGCGTCATCACGAATTACGCTCTTTCCCTCCGAAACTCTATGGTAAACCATCCCCTCCCTGTCCCACTTGCCAGTTCAAACTCAGCGGATCGGATCGATCCACGCCGTCATCCCCGCGCGGCGGCGAGGTCCATTCCCTTATCTTCCCCCCACTTTCTCGACCAGGGCGGGCGCGAACACATTCCGGGTACTGGAGCTCTCTAAGACGGGGTTGGAATGGCTGCTGCTGTCCAACGAGGCGGTGGAGGCGTTCGAAGTGGACTTGCTCATCGCGTCCACTGGGAGGGAAGGAGGGAGGGAGGGGGG